GGGACAAAGAAAGGCTGAGCATGCCAGATCCATCATAAAATTGTTATGCTAGACAACACAAAGGCTTGCTCACATGGATTTGAATTAACAAGGATACACAGCGATCAGAAAGGAAAACTTGCAATGAAATTAAAATTCCTGTGTAGAAATAGAGATGAATCTTAAAAGCACCTGCTCTGAGAATAGCAAAAGCCTGGGAAAATCAGCAATATAATGCTCATCAATCGGATTCACTGCAGCCTGGGATTTCTCATGGATAGGTATTAATTGTGATTGTTGCTTTGTCTTAGTAATAAAATGGCTGCCCTTACCTACTGAGTATCAAACTGAATGCAACGCGTGATAATCACTAAATTCAGTGGCAGCAGTATGAAAGTTGCTGTACTTTATCTCCAGACAGATCTAGAGAAGTTATGGAATAACATTTTCTGTTCATCCTAATGTTAATTGGAAGAAGTTTTGATAACCATCAATATTACTAGATAATATACGCTACAGTTCTCTTGTCGTTTAGAGTATATTTGAACACTCAGTCTATACTCTTTAGAGTATATGATCACTCACACTGACTATTTGGACTGTAAAATATAAAGGGTCTCATGGTATCATCTTGCGGAGTTCTTCAGTCTCTGCAACAAAGAGCCACCTTTTTTTTTTTCTTAAGAAAACGTAGGGAATAAATAGTTCCACGTCTGCATGCAGTTTAACATCTAAGAGAAAAATCTGTGATGAGGCATGAGCCTGGAGACTTTACCTACTGCACAACAAACTTCTGGCCTGTATTTCTGCATGTATAATCTCCAGGTAAAGAAACCTTGAAAAGGTTTTCAAGGACAATGACTGACAGGAATGGATTCTCATCCAGAGAGTGAACCAGTAGAAATAAGAGGACACCTGAGTCACATCAAGAGAACTAATTGAAATGTCAAAGTTTCTCTCAACAGGAGGAAGGTTGCCATCACTAGTACTGGAATCTGCAGATCTTGCGGTATAATCCGTGCCAGCACAAACTCTGGTTTCAAGGCTGGAGTTGCAATGCTTTATCCTGTGAACAGGCTGCTGTAGTGAATTTTTGTGACCTGTCTTGCTCTTCATTGCTGACAGATGGCAGCAAATGACAAAACATTTTCAGGCTATACTACTTTCTGCTCCTCTTCGCTGTAGAACCTTCCTCTTTCAAAACAAAATGGTGCTTCACTAGCAAAATGTATGACCCTTGTAAAAGATGAGGATGCAATTTAACATGTCATATAGTTCAAGCAAATGATGTAACTTTGTCCATTGTGTTCCTATTCTCCATAATACTGAAAATTTTCTGGTTCTATTTGAATATTTACTTGTTCTGCACTGAATCTAATTGCAGCTTCTCTAGTTACCTGTTGTGTCTCAGTTAAGCACTCTAATTTCTACATCTTGATTTTTGTTTTTAATTTCTAATTTTTTTTTAAACTTCTTTAACTTTAACCTCTAGCCTTGAGATTCAAACATATCAACAATTCCTTTGAGTCAGGCTGCATTACTGGTAGGACATGAAGAAAATTGTTAATGGCTCTTTGGGCAAATAACTATTACTTTGATATTTATTGTAAGTCAATAAAGTCAGCCTGTCACTCTACATCTTGGCAAGAGAAAGCTGTGTCAATCTTCTAAAGGTTTGTTGACCTTTTTCAATAGAATTTGGCCCAAAGAGCCACCTTTTTTTTTTTCTTAAGAAAACGTAGGGAATAAATAGTTCCACGTCTGCATGCAGTTTAACATCTAAGAGAAAAATCTGTGATGAGGCATGAGCCTGGAGACTTTACCTACTGCACAACAAACTTCTGGCCTGTATTTCTGCATGTATAATCTCCAGGTAAAGAAATGACACGCAGGTACTTCTGCAAAGGTTTGTTAATGAAAACCTGAGCACTGGGATGCTGCAGTGCGCAGGTTTGGTGACTGGTTTGTGTGAGGTGGGGTCTTCCTTCTCTCCAAGCCCAGCTGCAGCTGAGCAACCCGGCCCCTCCTTGGCTTTGCTGTACGCCCTAGCACAGGAGACTTTGGCACGAGGGGGGCCACAGAAATGAGCTTTTACAGCTTGGGGTGAGAGCTTGAGCGATGGTCTCAAAGAACAAATGTGCAAAGGTGGCAACTCAGCCAGGCAGGCCTCTGTCCCTGATGAAGCCAACATACATTTTGTATGTTAGCGGTATGCTTAGCTCGCAAATAATTGACTCTCCTCCATCTTATCAGCTAAAACTACCTCAGTTCAGGCACTTTTACTGCAAATATATATATATTTTTTAAATTTAATCCTTACAAATTATTGGAAAAAAAAAAAAGCTATTGTCAATCACCTGCGTGAGCAGCTCTAGTTGGGAAATTCAGCTGTGCGTATGAGCCTACTTCACGGGGCCTGAAGGAGGCACGGGTCTCCTCCAGGCCTCTGTTCCCTCGCCATCCCGCTTCCAGATCCCCCTTACATACAACGCAGGCAACGACCCCCTGCGCGGGGTCAGTCAGCGCCGCCACCCCAGCCTGCGGCGTTGTTTGTTTAGTTCTGGGTGAGCCGGGGAAGGGCCGCGACCCTCCTCGCAGCCCTGTGCCTTCCGCAGAGGGTGCTTGGGTGGGGAGGGGGAATCTCCTTCCCACCCACCCCCCCCCACCCCG